TCCATGCAGCTGTCGCTTGGGTACTCGCCTGTCTTCTTGGAACTATATTCATCGCTGCAAGTGTCTAGCAATCATCCTATAGTTTTGCGTGGCCAAACACAAGCATAGACTCGGCTCCGTTCAAACGTCAAGGATCGTGATGAAGCATCTGTGTTTAGTTCGTCGCGATAAATTGTACATTGTTTCTCGCATCCATATCGGTTATGATATGAGGCTAGTGCAGATTAATAACAAAGCCGCGCCACCGATAACAATTCCTTCGCAGTCTACACAAAAACGAAGCAAGTTGACAGGGGATCAACATGGCCTCATGTTCTATATACAGTCTCTTGTACTCCCTCAGAAATAGAGTAATCCCCATTCCTCAGAACTAAAACACATAGTTCTTAAAAACGCTCCCGCAATTTTTTTTTTTTTTTTTAAGGGTAACGTCTTGCCTAACAGCTGTGACCAAAGCAATGGCAAGAACCACAACAGCATCAGTGGCTATCAATCCTCTGAACCAACCCCTTTAGCTAGCACCACGGCGGAGCGGGGTAACTTGTACACTGCTAGACTACCAGCGGCGACGCGACCAGCGTTCAAAGCTGGGCACAATTGCACAGTCGCAATGACGGTATTGTCGCCAGTATCTCCGGGAGAGCAGCCCATTGATTGTTGCCGGCCGTTGGGTCGCAGGAGTTCCGATCTTGACAAGGATTCATGTTCGGTTCCAGAAATCGGTGTACCTTAATTATATAGGTACTGATATATATATTGATGGTAGCCAGCGTATCTCTCTCATAGTTGGAACCCTGGATTGAGGTACAAGTGTGATAATTATATTCAGTCTATGGGAATAGATTCAGCTACTTATAGTCTCAGCAACTCATCTCCTGCCTAGCGGAGTGGAAGCCTAACAGGAAGCCACTCCTACAGACCTATATACATCACGTAACCTGGGATCCAACTCTCATCGATGGGTCGGGGTATGCACACGAAGTCTTCCACCATGAATCCATAGTCTAGTTTTCAAAAAGTTGACTTGATCTATTGACGCAGCACCTATGGGGAAACGGTATCTTGAACATCATTCCTGCCGGCATAGAATCGGTCCCTTATGGGCTCATAACTTCTGGCGAGCACGTCCGGCTTATGATAACAAATGGGATCCAAGGTACCCAGTGAGATGCGGTGGTCCTCTTCTAGGGGTTCGAATAACAAAGCAATTGCTTCGTTGTTAATTCCCAAAAGTTCACATTTTGCGTCCGTGGATTCTTTGCTCAACCAGCTGCGGTCCGATTCGCATTTTGTCGCCAACTTTTCGGTTCCGAGTTCCAGTATCTGCTATGTTTTAGAGAATGAATCAATTTTTGTGACATTGAGATTGTTCCTCACCTCTTCTTGACTTGAGAGAGAACTGTGTGGACGCTTTCGCTCTTTGCCGCCAAAGTGCTCGTACTTTTTTTTGGGAGGTGCCACCACCGAAAAGTCCATTTCCCGCAACTCCAGGATCGTAGGATTCTCGTTACCAGTCATCTTATACTGTTTCAGGATATAATGATTCCCAACTTAGCAAATAGGGGGGGGAAAGAAAAATATATCGAAGAGAAAAGATCAGTTTTCGAGGATACGTACATTTCCGTTATATGCTGGCTCATCTTTCTCTTTTTGCTTGTGCATGGATAGTCCTCGGCAAACAATCCCCGTTCCTGGGTCAAATGATGGGGAGTTTCGAGGCTTCAATGTTGTGGTGTATGCACCAGCTGGTGGGATGAAGATCCTGGGTTTGATAGCAAAAGATATTGTGATGTTTCTCGACGCGACAACTATAAACCCTTCGAGGAACGCATCGTACTTTTGAAAATTCCTTATATAATATATGGAACTTGTGAACTCATGAAGAATGTATGCTGTTAGACTTGGGAATGCACATTTCCGAGACCATTTTTTCTCATAGCGAGGATTGGTGATAAACTCTAATTTTCTTGAGAGAAAAGTGCAAATCCCAGTCTATTTCGTCGACTACGCAAACAGCTGTCTTTGAATTGATTGTGTGGACTTGGTGTTTTCAGAACTTTCCCGATTGTTGACGCAGAAAGTTTGCTTTGGGAAAAAAAAAAAAAAAAAAGGAAATGCTCACTTTGCGCAGACTTAGATTTGACCCATTTTACCAACTGAAGGTATCTGCTCTGCTGGCTTCCTTCATGGACTTGAGATTTCAATCCACTTACGCACACCGAAAGCTGGACCCCCCAATCAAATTCTACCAACATCGTATGCACGCCCATATGGTGGCGTCGAGTTTACAGCGATTTTCGAGAGTATCTGATTTTCAGGTTACAGAATGTACACTGCAGTAGATAGATCATCACGATAATGTCCGGTACAACGCATGCAGAACAAGTCATATTTACATTGCCTCTCTACCTGGAGCCTGGCTGCTTCTTTAGGTTTATAAATATGACTTCCATTCTTGCTCCCACTGACGGAGGGTTTTGCCGCGAATAAACGCCGTCTCCCTCGTGAAAAGGGAGCGGAAGGGGTGTGTTTTGCCCCGGCCTGCGGCGTCCTTGGCCAGTCGATCCGCTGCGTCGTTTCCTAAGTTGTCGCAATGCCCTGGCACCCACTGAAGGCGAAGCGCGGTTCCCGCCGCTTGAACCTCTATGGCCGCCTGGAGAATGGCATGGATGACCCTTTGTCCGGATTTGTTTCCCGCGTTTAGACTGCCTGCAGGGCTTATCTGCTGTCACATAGGATTCTCGCTGTCGTGTTTCCACTGTCTACAGTTCTTAGGCGCTGGTGAGCATGTTTGAACACTGTGCTCATAGCATAGAAAATGCCAATCGGCGCCGCTACGTGGACCGACCACCGGTCCATCGGTCCTACCTGCACCTGTTGCGACTCTATGACCTCTAGGTTGTTGTCAAGCGCGATAACGGCGGCACCCAAGTGGCCCTCGCGTCCAGAGGCGTCTGAGTAGCCGACAATGTCGGACGTGGACCGTACGGCCTCGGCCCGTTCTCTTGTCGTTTCTCGGTCTGACCCGATCTCAATGTTCGCGAAGGACTCGGCTCGCCATGGCGGCAGCAGTCGTGGCCAAAAGACATGAAGTAGCTTCGACAGGACCTCAATGTCTCTAACAAGCTACCAATACGCGTCTATATGAGTATAGCAAGTGTGACCATACCTATGGGCCAATCACAAAGAGTAAGCCGATTGTAACCCCGATGATAGCCGCTCTATATTCATTTCTACCTGGTAACAGGTTATAAGATATTGAAAAATATATGAAAAAAGCCATCAAAAAAGAAGGGTCGGAAGGAGTTCAGTAGAGGGAGATGATCAAAAAGACATTTATGACCTTGGAAGTGTCGCCAAACTTTCTAGACCTAATGCTATGAACCATTTCGCTCAAAGCTAGTGGGGGTTCCTTAGCCAGATACATGTTATCCTTCTGGGCTGTTTGTTCTTCTATAATTTGTTTGATTCTTAAAGGATATTTACTGAGAAACCCTATCCGAAGGCACTATAGCAGCGCGTTATTGGTATTCACACACGGATATCAAAAAAAAAAAGATACATTTTTGAGGGATCCAATTACCAATCCAATTTGTTTCGTTAAGTAGATAGTAACACTTTTGAGAAGACCAAAGGCACAAAAAAACCAATTTTCACAATGTCCATTTCAATGAGCAAAAGCAACTGGTTGCCTTTCAACTCCTTGTTGAGAGCGATAACTCACCCCGTCAACTTTCAGTCCTTGTTCATTCAACAGTGTGATGGTATCACCAAGGTTCGAGAGATGAACATCCGGAATGTCGAACGCTTGCGTTGACTTAGCACCCAAAGCTGCATCACGCGGCAGTGCTTGGAATTCACCAGCTGAATTTTTAATTTTCCAGGAAGACAGGGGCATTGTGTGGTCTTTTGGATTTGTGAGAGTAACCGACCTGCGTCTGGCTCGGGGACCATCTAACTCAGGATTGATCAACGCCTCGTCAATTGTCACAGAATCCTCTGTCATCTCGGCGTCTCTCTCCTTTGTCCCCATATAGTCACCCCAGGTCTCTGATGATATGGCATGCCCTGTCTTATCATCGGTGTGCACAGCTTGTGATGCGAATCCGAGAAAGACTCCAACCCATCGACCAGAGCGTGGGTAGTTGATCAAAAGGCCACCATCTTGGAACACACCGTCGTCATGTGCGAATCGCTTAACATTGCCTTGATTCATATGCACATTGTGAATACCTTTTCGATCGCTGAACGGTTCTCCAAATAGGTAAATATCGGCCTTATGGTCAATGGCCTGTTTGACTTCAGGTTCTAGAACATCAATCATATCATTGTTCGAACCTGGTTCGTCATGGGGTAGGATTCGACCGGTGTTGACATTGAATAAGTTGCTCCGGATGTAGTCTAGTCTCACACCAGCAGGGGTTGACTCCGTTTCTTCGAGGGGATAAAACCCCGAGGATAGGTCGGTGAGACTGTTGACGATAGGGTGATTATTGAAGTCGTGATCCACCCAGTAGGTAAGTCGCGATTCATCCTTGTCACCAGACTTGATGTTGATTGCTGCTCTGAAGAGCCCAGCAATTTCTTTGTTACCTCGGCCGGCCCGACGAAACTTGTGGCCAGAATGGTGACTCAATCCTCCTTTATCACTGAAGTATAGTGATAAATGCGGGCTTTTGTCGTCATCCGCTTCATGTTCAACAACGTAGGATACAGGGTTTGCTTTCCAGACACCGTAATTACGAAGCGGCATATCGAGGAAGATATGGCAAAAGAAATTATTCAACAAAGTGGATTTGTGGAAGGATATGATTGAAAGGTAGTTTCTTAGAATGTAGAGGTGAGCTAAGTGCAAGTATCAAGTTGAGGTGGGGGGCTGATGTAGATACTTAATAGTCGGAGCTCAGCGTCCAGGGCATGTGACATGAATATGATGTTATTCTAACACTGGGTAGTTTAGACTCACGACAAAGAAGCGTTGCGAGATGAAAGTCTCACACGCGATGCTTAAGACCAGTCCAGACTCTTGGTCTAGCTACGTTACGGTGTAGTTATTCGCCCTGCCCAGGTGGAGATCAGACCCATGACGCATTGGTGACCTAGCCAGTTACAAACGACCACCCAATGCGCACAAATCGGACAGATAAATTGTCTAGACTTTTGACAGTGATCTG